TTATAGTTAAGCTTAAAAGTTTTTTGTGTATTTTTACTGATTTAAAAAACTTTTTGCCTCAACTAATCTTGATGATAATCGATTGGTGATCTTTTGTCACTAAACTAGACATGACTGGTTGTCAATTACACCAAGCTGACGACTATTTTTACACATGAGCCACATGAGAAAACTTGTGATCACTAGTTAGCTAGCTCTGAGAATATTCTGGAATCTCTATGAATCGTTATGTTAAAGTTTCAAGGTAGGACTTTTTTATTTTCTTTTTGTTAAATTATTATTATTGACATTCGATGAAATATAAAAGCATCTGAAATAATGTGAATTTAAATGAATTTGTTACTGCATGTAAATCACACATGCGTATTAAATCAGACAATTGTTTCATTCTTTTTATTAAATCAGACAATAGTCCCCTTCACGGTTAGGTGCGCCATCTTGAAAGGTAGCCGTGCCTTTACGTCGAAGCGAGACGACCGTTGAGCGTGCAATGATAGATACCTGTGAATAATTGTCTTTAGGTGTGAAAGAAGGTTTCTATCATTGCACGCTCAACGGTTGTCTCGCTTCGATGCAAAGGCACGGCTACCTTTCAAGATGGCGCAGGGAACCGTGAAGGAGACTATTGTTTCATTTTCAGAGAATCCCAATCGCAAAGTGTAAGATTTTCTAAAAGGATGTTGACAACACACCAAAAAATACCGTTAAGCTTCATGAGAAGGGCAGTGCCATTATCATATGCAATGAGTTGTAGGCCTTGAAATCCATATCAAAAACTGATATGTTTGTACTGGTTGTTTACTTCATTGGACATTTATCACTGTAATACGCTTAGCTACAGTGGCGGATCCAGGATTTTGGGAAGGAGGGTGACTATTTTATGACAAGTATTTCATTTGAAAAAGTTACGTTATTTAATATTCAATTTATTTTCTATCTATTAATCAATGCAGCATACACTCTAGCAGCTACATAAGATAGCTTTGGTATTTTGTAGCTTGTTTCGTTTTTTTTTTAAGTCTGAGTGTTTCTCTATGTAGAGTAACAACTATTTTACATCAAAACTAATATAAAATGATACAGATAAGCAGAAAAGCGATGGCTCCTACATTCTCCTAGGATGGAGCTGCATAAATGCCCGGCATATTTCTTGTGTGGTTAGGGGAATAGCATTGCCATGTATGGCAATAAACGCTAAATCTGACAGCGTCTCTGTGGTCATCGTTGTCCTCAGCCAAGTATAGATTCGTCTAAGGCAAGAACGATCAGCCTCGACACTTCCGATGGGAAGGACATCTTCAATAGCTCGCGTACATTGGGCAAAAGATCTGGTCGGCATGTTGCGCTAACGCTATTGGAGGGGGACATTGGGGTTTGGGGGATTGCGGGATTGACCGTTTTTTTATGCGATATTCCGGTAATTTCGCAAAATAAATTCGATAATGCGGGATTTGTATTTTGTGCGATATGCGGTATTTGAAGTTTTAAGATGCGGTATTACGGGAAAAATCGCTTAAAATGGCGGTATTGCGAGAAAAATGATTCACARTCCATACADCCAATCACAGACCTTTCTATCATGTAATTTGACTTATATGACCTCTCTGGACTATCTGGTCATTCTCGTTAATCTTTGTGACATCGTTATCGTACTTACATACTCCGAAGTATGTCTGACAGCCTAGTAATTATAGAATGCGTGGCGTTCTTCTATGAAGAAGGAAAAGGAGGAAAACATTATAGAAAGAAAAACAAATTC